TTGAGGCACTGTCTAAAACAAAACGGTTGCAATACTCACTGAAAAAATACTGGTTTTGATATTTCCGCTTCCAGCTTCAAAAATAATAAAATATATGTTAGGTGTATAAACCCTGTATAAAAAAGCTAAACTTTATAACTTATACACGTTGTATATATAGAATATATATGTATAAAAACGGCAAGTATAGAGTTGTGTTGCGGTACCATCACCTTTAAAAATCTGCTTTACGTATTGTAAAAAATTTAACATCTATCTGGTTACGGCAATATTTCGAATAAAATGAACAAATGACTTATGCTATTAAAAAATATGTCTTGATATGATTCATATGCATAAACATTTACAGGAAAACTATAAATTAATCTGTTACTTACTTGTATTGTGGTCAGTATATGTACATAAATTAATTACCTATTATAAAAGTGCATTATTATTGTCAGGACAGTTTTGAAAAGAAATCTGCTCATAAGAAAAAAATCAGTAGATTTTATTTATTGACAAAATCAAAACATTAAGTACAACCCTGTAAACTTATTCGTTGTGATGTATTTTATGTAACTGATATATTAATAAAATTCGGTTTTCAGTAAAATGTATAATATGTTTAATAAATAATAGAAAATACTGAATTTTGATTAAACACTATTTTTTATTGTACGTTAAAATAAATTATCGTTGATCAAAGTGGAAAATTTTTATTAACAGTCCAGATATACACAACTGAATAAGCTATGATTTCAAAATTAAGTTTAATGAGCCTAATTTTGAAACCATAACTTATTGAGGTGCGTATAGCTGGTATACCTAATTGTAAAGTACGTCTATTGGACCTGTGTCTATGAAAAGAATGCGGACAAAAAACATTTAAATAAACAGCAATATATTTTAAAAATCGTTACCTATACCGGGTGCGTCTCAAAAGTGGCTCACCCCTATAACTTTTTTATTTTTTTAGATAAAAAAACGAGATTTGGTATGTCAGTATTTGACATAAATTAGGATTGATTGACGTATTCAATTGTTTTTGGTCGTTTCCTGTTTCACCGGAAATTACTACAACTTTTGATTTTTAAATGGCACCCTTGGTATTTTTTTACTTTATTTGATAGAAAATGACATTCTAAATAGAATAACATATCATATGTCAACTTTCACATTCTCGCTTAATAAAAAATCGTATTTTAAATTTCAATCTAGAGTGCCAGGGCCAATTTTTAATCCAGGAGCCTTAGAAAAATAGATTTGATCGTCCAATGTTTTTAGTGTCTTGTCCTAGCCAGTTAAAAGATGTCCAAATCATATTTTTAATCATATCTCAATTTTTTCAAATGGAACGAGGGTGGCTCTTTAGCATATTTGGAAAAAAACATTTTTTTACGAGTAATTTGATACCATACAATTTCGGTATTTCGAGTCAAATTTTTGTTATGAACCGCATGTTATAACTTTAAATAAACCATATGTGAAAATGTCAAAAGTTGACATATGATATGTCATTCTATTCAGAGTGTTATTTTCTATCGAATAGGAAACAGATACCAAGGGTGCCATTTGAAAATCAAAAGTTGTAGTCATTTCCGGTGAAACAGGACGTGACCGAAAACAATTGAATACGTGAATTAATCCTAATTTATGTCATATACCAAATACATACATACCAAATTTCGTTTATTTACCTGAAAAAATAAAAAAGTTTTAGGGGTGAGCTACTTTTGAGATGCACCCGGTATAGAAGCGGCAGAGGGTCCACGTGGACTTGACGAGTATAGGTTTGTTCTCACAGCTGTAAAGCGGTCCATACATTATCAAACAAATTGCGCAACGAAGCGATGCGCAACGTTGCGTTGCACAACTGATTCAGCGGTCCATACATTATCAAACAAGTTGCGCAACGAAGCGATGCGCAACGTTCCGTTGCACAACTGTATCACCCATGCACTTAGTAAAATTTTGATCAAACTTTTCATTAAAAGTTGTGCATTGTTTGAGAAATAATCATGTCCTCAATTGCCATTGCGTCAATTATTATCGTATATACCCTAGATGATTTCAATAATACCAAAAAACGAAAAAGAAAACAAAGAATTTGGACGAAAGAAAACTAAAATATTGCACTACGAAGCGCAACACACACATACACTACACAACACGCTGCGCAAACGCCTGTTGCCCAAAACAATTCAAACATTCTTGAAACTTATCAAACATTTGCGCAACGCATCAAACGTTACCATACATTGGCAACTCGTTGCGCAACAGCCTGCGTTGCGCAATTTGTTTGATAATGTATGGGCCGCTTAAAGAAACATATTTCCAACAGATAATCATGCGCAATAGGGTAAAACGCGTTGGCACAGAAATTTTTGATTGGTTTCCAACCAACAGTACGCTGTTCGCACAGAAAATTCTGATTGTTAGCTGACAGTCAGACCTGTTCGCGGATCTTTTGTCCGGCGCATGCGTATTGCGACCCGATGTCATTAAAATTGGTAAACTTAACATACAAAACGTGTGTTGTTTTTGTTTAGCGTTTTTTTCTTCAAAAAAATAAAGAAAAGAAATGAGCGATTTTGAATTTTCCGAAGAATCTGAGGCGTCCGAATTTTCGGATACAGACACAGACCTAGAAGAGCTGATGGAGGAACGGGTCAGGCCCAAGAATCAAAATTACAAAACATTAAAACATTAAAAAGAACAAAACCAAAAACATTAAAAGATGTCTTTGGTTAATTCCCTGTTCGTTTTCTTCTTTATTCGGTATTACGTAGGAGTTAAAATTAGTGGTATTATTAGATCAAAAAAGAAGAGTAGGGGATTCGCTGTTCGTACAGACAGTTTGAAATCGATAAGAAACTGCATTATTTGAGGCCTGCGCATTAACACCGATTTGAAAGAAGTCACAAACATGTTGGGAACACGCTGTGAGAACAAACCTTATGTCACACATATGTCAAATTTGGTAAAAGGTAACAGAGAATATCGTTTCCCTCTTACGGATGCCTCGTAGCTACAGAACGGATAGACGTACTGTATATAAATAATTATAGAACAAAAATAAAACATTGTGTGTTATAACACAAACTAACTTATATAGTCTGTGGTTATAATTAAGAGAAACTTTTTATTTCAACTTTTCTGTATAATAGTCCTAGTTTCTAGGGATTATCAAAAAAATAAATAATCAAACATTATATTTTTAATAAGTGATGTCAAACAAAAAAGGTTGGATAAGAAAAAAAGGAATTATTTTTTTATTTTATAGGCTATATTTGTAACAAACTGTATTCATTATGACTTCTGATAAATAATGCACTTATGACTTTGTTTATCACTATACTTGTAAAATGTAAATCGTTGAGTATGAACAAATTATTCGAAATATTCCCGCATTATGAAGACACTGTATAGAATTAAATTGTGTACTATCGGTTAACTTATTATAAAAATAGTTTGTTTCTATTGCACCCAGAACAACTTTTAAAAATATATAACAATTATACTATTTTGTATTTTGGGATTGAACGTAGCTATATGGTATTCAAATCTCTTAGGTAAATAAAAGAGGCCAAAGAATGTTTTGTAATATCGATTAAATAAAGAACAGTTAAACTTGCTTGTCGTCAAAACATCAATTTTAATGTGTCTTTCGCAGCTACGTTTTTGAGGCACAGCATTAATTTTTAAAAATTGTCCCATTTTTATATTTATCTGTACTATTATAATAACACTGTAAAAATATTTTGGAAGTTATAGAACCACAGTTGCTTGGCAATATTTTTAAGTTAGAACCCGTCAAACAGTTCTACCATTACGTTTTCTTAGCGTTTATTTTTTACATTAAAGAGATCACATATTGGTAAATTCTAAACTACAACAATCATAATTAGCACGTGGATACTAAAGAAAACGTACTAATTTTGTTTCTTCGACACTTAAAAAAATATGTTGCTTTAAATCGAAAAAAAAACCTTGTTTTATAACACTCAATGAAATATTGATGTGTTCATATAAATTATCTTCTATTTTATGGAAACAAAATTATTACATTTTCATCTAATATCCACAGAAAAAAAGTACCTTTTAGGTTCTTTGTTTGTTTTTCTTTGCTTGTAGAAAGTATTGCCACCAAGTTAACAGGACATTGTTAAATAAAATATGAGAAATATTTTACTTCAATATGTTAAAAGTATTTTTAATAATATTGCAAGGAATTTTGACAAACAATAAATTTAATTATAATAAAATGCATTTCAAGTGCACAATAACTAAATTATAATAAGGAACTAAAATATAGGACATTATTAATTTTATTAGTAAATTTTATAGGTAAAATAAAATACATAATAAAAGTTTTAATAGTGTAAATAAATATGTCTTAAATATGCTGTAGGAATTTTAAAATGTATAGCCATGTGAAATGATCGATTACCTATAAGTAGCTAGGTACGATTAAGTCCCATTCAATATAAAAAATTGAAATGATAAGGTTGGCTTACTCTGATAATTAGTATACAGAGTGTCTCAGATTTTAATCGGGAAAATTTAATAGACGATAGAACTTGCACAAATAAAACAAAAAGTTCATATCAACTTGTAAGATTTAAAGCTTCCTTTTCATGATACAGAATTTGAAATTAGAATTTATTTTTTTCGCAAGAAGTAAGCAAGATAGACAAAAAAATAGTATTTTAAATTACTAAATCCAAAATAATATTAAACTTCTAAAAAAGCAGTGGCGTGCCTATTTTTTCCTTTAAAATAATTTAACAGTGATGCCCCACCGCCGCCCCTGGCCATTAAACTTAAACCTAATTACATCAGATTAAGTCCCATAGTAAGTATTATAAACGGGTTAAGTTATATCAAAATCGATTAAATAGTTTTTCAAATATCTTAATTTTTTTTCTTTTTTAAGTAACTTTAACACCCTGTATCTTGAAAAGGAAGCTTAAAATCTTACAAGTTGATATGAACTTTTGTTTTATTTTTGCAAGTTCTGTCGTTTATTAAATTTTCCCGATTAAAATCTGAGACACCCTGTAGATATAGGAAGAGAACTAATATTTTACATATCAGTCAGTTTTCTATTCTAAATTCGCCTATTTGAGCATTTAATTGTATTTGTAAATTATATAAATAAAAACAGTAATTACTTTATCAAACCTTCTTACACAGTACTCATTTATTTTCATATAATGAAAATGTACTATTAATTTAATAGTGTAATTAAAATAATCATAATTTTATATGCGTAATTAATTACTAAAGTTCCAAAGTTAAATGACGATAGAATATAGAATTTAACTTAACGTGTCAATTTCAACTCAGTGTATTTTTTATAATTTCAATTAGTATATTCTAAAAACATATACGATTTGTGGTTTCACATTTTTTTATAACAAAATTCAATTATATGTTGTGTGAAAAAAAATCATAATACCTAGTAAAAATACATTTGATGATTTAATTACAAAAATAATCAAAAACTAGAATACTTGACTCAGTCTTTAAAATAATTCAATCTCAATTGCTCAGATATACTATAATTAAAGGAGCTTCCTGCAATGTATTAAAAATACTTCTATATATACGGTAGAAACATCAAAATGCATGTTCGTAACATGCATAAAGACCTCAAAAGTCCATTTCATATCAGCACCATACGTTTCACCCATTAGGAATACCAACATTGTAGATATTTCCATAAGAAAACCATAGCAAGTAATAAATACAACTTATAAACAAACCAAAAAGTCCTTAGAAATTGGCGACCACGAGGAAGCTGGCAACAGGGCACTTATTTTACCCAATACAGGGTGGGCCCAGTTGCCAGCTGGCGGTTAGTCACTGGGTAGGTAATCCATTTGGAGACTTAAAGTCTGGATTTACGGCAGCTTGGAACTGCGTCACACTTGTTGGTGGGTTAAAGCTGGGATAGCATTGTGGAAAGTATAATTCTGGCTTGACCACACTTGATGGAGTTAATCCTCTTGGTAACATACCTGAAAGATATATACATTCACATAAAGATAGTACTGGAACTAGACTTATTTATTTTAATGTATATACATAATTATAATTATTACTGATTAAATATTAAGTATATTTTGAATTACATACCATTAGAAGCTAATTTTCCATCAGAACTTGCAGAATCCCTTCTCGACTTAGCTGCATGTGGATTCATGTGATTATCTATATGCTTCTTTACTTCTGGTTCTGTGGCAAATCTTCGCCTGCAATTTGGCATTGGACAGCAAAATGGCCTATCCCCTTGATGTGTCCTGGTATGTTGGTCAAGAATAGCTTTTTGTCTAAATAAATTTTATAATAATTAGTGCACGATATATTACTCACTGATTTGTAATACCTAAAATCTTTTCCACATTGTGTGCATTTGTAAGGCTTTTCCCCTGTGTGAATTCTGAGATGCTGATTTAAAATGGTTCGCTGTCTAAAATTTCTTCCGCAATACACACAACCGTATGGTTTTTCATTTGTATGTATCCTTAAATGTTGTGTCAAGTGACTCTGTTGTCGAAATCTAAAAGGAAGTAAGTATATTGATTTAACTGATTTAAACTTTGGACATATTCTTACCTTTTCCCGCATTCTGGACATGGGTACGGCCTACTTTCGATATGTATACACCCATGTTGCAACAACGTGCTCTTCTGTTTGAACTCTTTTTGACAAATTGGACATCTAACGTATAAAGGCATCCCTGCCGACCTACCGTGTTGAATAACATCTGGTAAACCCTTCCCTTGACCCTGTTTGAGGTATTGTAGGGCATTAAAGTTCCCACTGGATCCAAAAACAGAATGGTTCATACCTGTAAGCAAAACATATTTTCCTCATTCACTTATACTATAAAATAATACGTATAGGGCTGTTCAAATTTATAATACAGAAATAGTCACCATGATTTCATTCTGATAGTCCTTAATTATTGTTATAACTACGAGATTCAATTACACATATTCATCAATACTGTAAAATTCAATCATCAGACAAAAGACAAAGATGAACTTGGTGTTGTTTAATGTTTGTCCCTGAAAAATCTTTGCCTGAAGTTTGTTTATCAACTTGTTTATAAACAAATATGACAGTAGAATGACGTTGGCAAAGTGACAGTCTGACCAGTGCCTTCTATTAAAACATCAGCCCACGGGTGAGATTTATGACGTCACGCTAGTTAGATATAATGGATTAATAAATATGTTGTAGAATACATGGAAAACATAATTATTCCTCAGATTTTTGGTTTGTATTTTAAAAATGATATAGTTTACATGAAATATACATAATATACAGTTAATAACTACAACATATATACCTATTTATAGTAGTAAATACTTTGGCAAATAAACTATGAACCATACAAATGCAGCAAATGTTTTACAATGTACAAATAAAGTATAGGTACATAAGATAATGGGTAAAATGTAAATATATTTTAAATTTTGCGGTTTGAAAATCGATCTAATTTAACAAAAAACATTCAATATCTACTAATAGTAATGTATTATTATTTGCATTCACAAAATTTATATGTATATTTTGCAAGTATCAATGTTCGAAAAATTATATTTACAAATAATACAATATTATCTAAAAAAAGGCGTCAGCGATGGCTATGAAATGAAGATCGCTGGCATTTTATATGTAAAATTATTCTAAAATTTTTGTTTTTCTTGGGATTTTTAGGTTCGGGAAAAATGCTGATTTAAGTTTTCATTTGGGTTTTCATTATTTTTATTTGGTTTAAAAAAAACGTTTCGGCTAACTATAGCCTTCATCAGTGTTGTGTCATATGAGAAAAATAGTGTCGAATATAATCCAAAAAATTACACATACAATATAATTCAGACCTCATAATGTTTACTGCAATTAATAAACTACTACTTGACATACATTATATATTATCAAACAAAAACACATTCTTCTTTTAAACTGTATCAGTCTTGTCTTTACAAAAATCTCTTTTAAAATTTGAACTCAAAATAATAATCTTTTTCATGATCTTTAATACACATATTCTTTATTTTTTGTTTGAATCTATCGAAGCTGAACCAACAACACTTGGAGTGGAGATTCCACAATATGAATAAAATAAACATAATTGTCCAGTTTTCATTAATACCATCATGGGAGAATATTATTTTTAAATTTATTAAAGATATTTTCAATAGAATTCTCTTGATTTATAACTCGTACCCACTTTTCTTGCTCTTCCGGACACTTTAGGCTGCCTAGTATAACTATCCTTTCCACCAGGAACACAACAAAGATGAGGCATAGCACCAAAAACACACTCCACTTAAGCTTTATTGATGAATTGTTAGAGTCTTAAAAAACACACACAAAAATCACGATGAGTAAAAAATATATGGGCACTTTTAGGTTAAATCACTTACACAACGTGTAATTTTTCAATTTTTCTATTTTTTTATGCGAAACCGAGATGACCATATATCTGGTAGTAGTTTATGTCACTTAAACACCAAAATAATTAGTTTTTTGCACTACAATAATAAATAATACCAAAAATCATAGAGTTAAAACCAAAAATCAACCGACAAAATATGAAACGGAATCTAACCCAATATCTAAGTATGTACAGCTGATGAAGTAAACAAAAGTCCGCCCCCAGGCTGATCTTTTAAAGAACGGCAGTGGTCTGACAGTTGATCACTATGACATATGACATTACCAGCGTTGCCAATACTAGTAAAAACAGCAATTTTTACTATTTTTTTAACAAACTATATCAGCAAACATTTTTACTATTTTTACTAAATTATACGCCCGTTTATTTTCTCTTTAGTTCCATATTTTCCTCCCTGATTTTTTATTTTCCCATTCAACGTGCATAACGAAATTGTCGCCACATATTAGCTTATTTCGGGTTTCTCTTATTACCGATTCTGAACCGTCATAGAACTGTGATGCGTATGCGCAGAAGGAAATATGAAGACTTTATTTCTAATAAATAATTTTCTACTTAATATAATTTTCTACTTAATCGGTAATAAGAGAAACCTGAAGTAAGCTATTGTTTCCATATATATTGCCACCTGATTGCCACTAAAGAAATTTATAGCAAAATCTGTGCATATCGCCAATGAAATAAACAGTTAAAAACTAAACCAATTGTGTTTGTTGTACACAAATTTGCCCAATAAATACAAGACACGTACGTGAAGTGTTTTGTTGTTTAAACAAAAGTACCATCGACAAAAAACGGCGTCAAAGACGGCTGGGAAATGACAATCGAAGGTAATTTTGGCGAGGTCAAGCCCTACACATCATTTACTTGGCCCATACCCTTCTTTATTTTTAATGGGGCTTACTGCCAGTTGGTCTTAAAAAGGTTGTAATTATTTTTATATTTTTGTGTTTCTGGAAACGTTCAATCATTTTTAATCTTTCTATTTTAAATTAGTGTTAATTTTTGACAAGCTTTATGTATATACATTTTTAGTAACTGACGCCTAACCGATTGACCCTGCCAAAATTATCATCAATTGTCATTTCCCAGCCGTCTTTGACGCCAATTTTTTCGATCATACGGTATATTATTTGTGTTTAGGTCTGAGTTAGTGAAGAGTTCGTTATTGTTTCTCAACATAACTGGGTTATAAATAAAAATAAATACATATATACACAATTTTAAGACCTGCAATTAATTTATTTTTGTATTGTAGTTTTAAGAAACTGTTCGGTTTTTTTTTCTACAAAAGGTTTATGTTATTAAAAAATACAATAAAATAAAAGATCCTTTAAGTTTTTCTTTCTTAAATTGATTATAAATTAAAAAATATATTATGGGTCAATCTGACCCAACAACGTATGTAAAATTATTATGATCAGTAGTTAAGGATTAAAGTTTTTTACCTTCATTCAGTGTGTCTAACCAGATTTTGTAATAATTATGAATTATCCATAAAGGTATAGATACCGTATGATACGGAAATGACGATCGATGACAATCCCCACATAATTTTACATAAAAAATGACAGCGATCTTCATTTCGTAGACATCGCTGACGACATTTTTTTCGATCATTGTTTTATTTGTGTTCATTACCTTTGGCGTCTTTGAAATAAGCTGGATACTGCAAATTTCCTACAACGCCATTTGGTGAAAAACAATTCGTCCTCTCGTTCGTTCCATTTTCACCATCCCCATATGTCGAAGTCACCTCTTCCTTGCCTTCGTCCGGAGGAAAGGGTACATCTTGGGGCCATAGGGTCGGGTTTATACCATTTTTAAAGACCAAATGTGGACTTACATCTGAAAAGTATCCATATGAAATTAATATAACATAACATGGAATGTCTTAGTTGGAAATATAATATGTATCACCTCATTTACGAAACTTAATAGCCCAGTTAAATTAGGCAAATCGGTGGAAAAATCCCACAGTTTTGAAAATGATTGATTCAATTGATTCCTCTAAACTCTCCGATGAGCTCGAGGAGAGGGGAGGGGTTAAATGTCACTTTTATGACTTTTTAGCTTATATCTCGGAAAATATGGCACCTACGAAAAAATACTTGAAGCCCAGAAAATTCTCTACACAATTGGTTGAATTCATTTTTTTTCGATACGTCTAAAGGTGCGTTTAGGCTTGACCACGCACTTACTGATCCTCCGCGAATGCTCAAGTGTAAACGGCTGTGAGCCGTCTGGTGTTTGTTTTTGGTCCGTGCTCAAAGGGATTTTATGTGTGCGCGAACGCTCAGTTTGCAGCGGCAATTTGTTTTGTCGTTCGTGCGTGCGTGCGTGATTTTTTTTTGTTTTCTTTATTAAAATTATGGAGTGGATCAATGAATCTTCGTTATTATTAATTGATGAATATGAAAAGTTGCCTATATTATGGGATGTTAAACATTCTTTGTATTATTAAAAAATAAAAAAAAAACGCATGACAAGAACTTGTAAATAAAATTAATATTGAATATGTCGATATTAATGTACGAAAGCGTAGAGCTGCCATCGCAACAATGAAATATAATTTTAGCAAAATTTACACTTTTTCTGTAAATTTACAGATTTTCTGTAAATTTACACTTTTTTCTGTATGTGTTAAATTTACACTTTTTTCTGTAAATTTACACATTTTCTGTAAATTTGCTTGCCACCATGACGATGTTTTCGATTTTTCCTTTTAATAATTAAGCTGTGCATAACAACGACTGCAGCCTCGACTATTTGGTCGTCCATTTTCAACACAACTCTGTTGTGCGCGCACGAATGGATCGCTTCATTCGTTGAAAATAAGTTTTTAATTTGAACGGAGCCGAGAGAGCGAACGAATGCCGTGCGCGCACGCTCAGCTCGTAAGTCCAACAAAAAAAGTAAAAAAAAAAATGTAACACTCTACTTATATTAGGCTTACATGAATTGAAATTAAAGTCTAAATTTAACCTTTCATATTAATAATGGTAATATTAATTATCTATAAATATTCATCTAAATAAAATTATTTTATTTAGTTTTTCTGGTCTTAATTAAATAAAAATATATATATTGAGAGGTCAAAGAAAAAGAATAAAAAAATAAATAAAAATTATTTATATTTCTTCATATAATCCATTTTAGACAGGAGTTTGTATTCAAAAAAGTGATTTTAATTTACTATTAAGCTTACTTTTTAATTCAATAGGTTTTCAAATTCTTTTTAATTTTGCAATAATATCGTATAAAATATTATGAAATATAAATTAAAAAATCTTATTAAAAATGTTATTAAAGATAATGTGCTTTAATTTTCATTATAAGATTTTGAATTATGTGAAGGCATTTCTGTATTTCTGACAAAATTAATTCAGAAACATCATAATAATGTACTATTAAGCATATAAATGTATTATTATTTATTTTAATTCTTTAATATATTATATGTATTATGTGTCAAATTCGACGCTTTTAAATGGAAACACCTTTTCTATGATAGACGAAACTAATATCGGTGTCTGGAGCTCAACTTTTATCATAAACATGATGGTGAAACCTATCAATATCTACTGTTTCGGAGTTACAGGCTTTTTCAAAATGTCCATTTTTAACAAATCGTTGTAACTTTTGCTATGGAAAATATTGTATTTCTATGAAAATACTTCAAAGTAAGTTTTACGTAGAATTTGATGGTTTCAGTATATTCTTTAAAATTAATAATCAAAGAGTTATCAACAGAAAAAATGATTTTTATTTGGGACACCCTCTATATTTTAATTAACTGAAAAGAGTTTAAAATGTTTCCAAAAATATAGCACAATTTGAATTTTGTCATTGAAACTGGCTTGTAGATCTTTAGAATTTTCTATGATTTTATCCTCTAAAATATTAATTAAATCCTGGGAATTTTCCATAATTTTATCTTTCAAACTGTCTTCTAATTTTTGAGAATTCTCTGTGATTTTATCTTCTAAATTAACTTCCAAGTCAATTATTTTACTATTCAAATTGTCGTTTAAATTGTCTTGCAATTCCCGGGAATTTTCTGTAATTTTGTCATTCAAACTGTCTTCTAATTTTTGAGAGTTTTCCGTCATTTTAGCTTCTAATTTTTGTAGGCACGAGTCAAGGTCACCTTCGAACTCAAAGCAAAATGTGTCCGGATCCTCGCCTTCCTCCCTTAAAACGTCTCTCAGTCTGGTTTGCAAAATGCTTTTCTTTCCATCTGTCTCGCACTCTCTCTCTTCCAATGGATTTCAGTTCGGACACTTTCAAGTCTTTCAACAATTTCTTCGCAGCCATTGTTAGTCTTTTTATTTTTCTAGTCTATCACACACGCCACACCTGACACCAATTGGTACGTTTTTCCTCGGTTCCGTGTGGATAGAAAGTCACAATTTATTTAAACACTATTTATTTAACACTAATTAACAAAAACAATAACGATAAAAGACTTATAGAACTATTTACAAACGATTTATAACTAAGAATTTATTTTGAATTTTAGCGCGTCAACTGCACTGGTATATTTATAACTGCCCTCTCTAGGCCACTGCCGCCGGCTTTTATATCTACAGCAAAAGAAATCTAGAATAGTCCATAGATCGTTAGGTGCGCAGAGAAGGTTTTCGAATGTTCTCGTATGTACTAGTCCATTCCAGTGGGACTCGATTCTTCTCGAACGAATGAATCATTGCGGTGTCTATGCGATGTTAAGGTCATCCGAGGGCGGGCCATATTGTGAGGTTAGGTCGAGTCCACAATGGGCTCGCAACATTACGAAAGATAACACTTGGATTTTCCGTCGGGGCTATTGAGCCACAGATTAGGTAATACTAACCAGATTATCTTAATTGTTGACGATACCGATATAGGAATTTTTTTCGACATACAGTCATACAGTAAAGTTTTTTTCTCGTAGTAATTCTGGTTTATAATTCATTTCATAAAACCAATATTACAGCTGCGGAACCGTCCCATTACACACTGAAAATAATATAATATAATATGAAAATGTTTTCTAGATAATCTACATCTATTCTTATAGTACTTAGCAAAGTACTATGTAATATATAGTACTGAGCCAAAAAAATATGTTTTTCTTGGCTTGTTCTTGTATATCAGTCACATTGACTAATTCATTTTCAGGAAAATCTGTAAAACTATTATCTTTACCTCTACCATTTATACTTATTACAACACAGTAAACTAAAATTCACGTTTTGTTCTTAACTTGCTTAACAGACATATGAAATTTTGATCATTATTATTTTTTGTCATGGCAATAGCGTACCTAATTGAATTAAAGATATGGTAAAAATAGAAAAAATTGGAATAAATCGCAAACTATTAAAAATAGGTATATGACATATTTAATAAAAGTTGAAGAGCTTTGCAAAATCTTATCAGAAAAAATGAAAATATAGGGTGTACCATTTAAAAAAATCTGAGATTTTTTAATTTTAAGTAGCTGAAATTTATATATGTTATTTGGAACACCCTGTAGCAATAATTTAAATATCTTTACATATATATTTTTTTTTCATCTTTATAAAAACCTCTACCAAATTTTGGTATTCCAACTTCAGAAACAATGGTACCACTGACAATTTTTTATCACACTGCAATTTGACATTTATTTAAACAAATTTAAATATTACAAAAACTATTAATTTTAAGTATATTACATTATATATAAAAAAGTTATGAAATTTTAGACAGAATCTAAAAATAAAATAAAAAATAGGGTGTTGCATTTAAAAAAAACATATGTTATATCCACCACACTTTTTTGAAGCACCCTGTATACTCTATAATAATTTTAATATGTGTATCCTAACCTTCCCTATAACTTTTATATTTAACATTTTTTTGTCTCGAAACAAATGATATAATGGACTTTACTCTATCGTTGACTCACCCTGTACAAGTTTAATTTGTAAATAAATAAGTTATTAGCCCTCAAGTAGGAAAAATATGTTATACCCCAGTCAAATTAGTTAAAAAAAATCATCATCGGTGGAAAAAATCCCACAGTTTTGAAAATTGTTTTAAACGATTCCTCTAGTCTTGGGCTGATATGTGTCAAAAGTCCCCGAAGATACATGATGAGCTCGAGGAGTGGGGGAGTTAGATGTCAATTTTTTTCACTTTTTTGCTTATATCTCAGAAACTATGACATCTACTGAAAAACACACTATGTACAAAAATAAAGCTGACAAAATTCTCTATAAAAACGATTCCGTACATTTTTGTTCCGGGACAAATGGTTTCCCGAACTACGCCCTTTATAAATTTGGATATTAAATCAAATGGGCATATATTCCAAATCCGTACAAACACATTTCTTTTCATTGATCGTTTTCGTTCAAAATAGTTGAAGAAGTACAATATCATGATTTTTGCTATGTATTAACTTTTAGCAGCTAAAAACAGTCGCGGAAATTGTAGGCGATTTCGTTCAGCCATAAATGTTGTCAAAGTTGTCATTGAGATGGCGGAAAGTTTGTCAGTTTTATTTTTTTTGGCCTTGAAATTTGAAAGAGATAGACTACATTTATGGAAGGTTGCCGTTATGAAACACATCTTTCTGGTAATTTTTCAATAGCGAATGAGGTTGAATAAATTACCTCTGTTAACGAGCTTGTGAAAATTTATCAAACACATGCAAAAATTACTTGTAGTTTGTTAGAAATTTCTTTATCTCTTGTATTTTTTGATAAAACCTCACCGATTTGAAATTAAAAATAAAATGTAAAGCATTACATGTTAGACAAAAACATATTCTGATAAAGAATCTATGGGCTGCTGTAATTTTTTTAGGAAAAAATCTA